TGTCCTATATGTGTGCTCCCCACCCCCCCAAGACCAGAAAAATTCATATACCTTATTCTCAGTCCAGAATTAGCCTTCCAGATTTTTATATAGGTAAATAAATGTCCACTGGCTATCTATACTAAAGAACTCTACTATGGAACTACATGAGGATCTTTATTTATCCAAGCAAATCAGCACAAAAATCTTTCTGTTTCCCACTTGTGCTAGAACTGTCCACAGGATTCATTTTGGTTTATGTGCACAGAATCAATCAGAAGTTTGATCTTTGTGGGGGGTAGAAGTACCATAATTCATTTAAAGTTGTATTAATGCTTTTTTAAAAAATCTCTGGCACTTCACAGTGATTCCTCCCACTCCCCCCAGCAATAGAACACTTCCTTATAACATAAAAATACAGCTAAGCAAAGAAAATCAATTGAATGTTAAGCACTTTTTGATACCTAGGAGGAGGGAGGTATGTTTCAGTTCTATGGAATAAAGAAAGATAGTTTCATTGATCAGACATCTATTGCTGTCTTCTTTTACATTATTGTAGTCATGCAGATTTTTCTTTTGGCTCTGCTACTTCTTTCCATGTCAATTCAAAAAAGACTTCCCAAATTTCTTTGTGTGATACTCATCTCTAAAGGGGAAGGAAAGGGGGCAAATCTCACTCCCCCAAAGGGGAAGGGGTAATGTGTACATTCATGATTTCTAGGATTTTGAGTTTATGTTCATTTCCCTGGGCAAGGAAATATCCCACAGTTTGGGAGATGGGAGAAGATTTAGAGAGACTGAGGAAAAATAAGTTTTGGAAAAAGAAAGAGAAGGGAGAGAGGAAATTCTCCCTCTCAAAAAAAAAGAAGTTGGAAGCAGTTTATTAGCAGCAATGCCAAGAAGAGTGACAGAGATACAGTTCTCCTTCCAGGTCCAAGGGGAAAAACGAAAAATTGGGGATGATTAGAGAAGTATATGTACAGACTGTTCTTTGTCATTGTAGCTTGTCTGCATGATTGGAGCTCTGGTAAAAGCAGATGTATTACATGCATTGTGGAGAAACTGAACAATCCTTATCCATTTCCCCTTCCACCCCTGCTTCTGCTGGGTATGACTAGCACCTATTTCTGAACTTAATTCCTTATGTTGTTATATGTTATTATCATCATTATTGTTGTTGTCGTTGTTTTAACTAATCTAGTTTTACTGCATTTAGCTCTGGTAATTTTAACCACACAGGAGAAAATTGACTAGGCAGCCATCTTTCTGGCTCAGGCAGGGCTGGTGACTCTAATTCTTGGCCTGTTCTTAAATCTTAGTTCTTCATATTCATTATTCCTAATAATACAATCATGTTCCATGACATTCTTTTACCACGATTTGTTCAGTCAGTCACCAAAGGGAACCCTGCTGTTTCCAGTTTTTTTTTAAATCACAGAAGTGCTATATATATGTGTGTGTGTGTGTGTGTGTATGTGTGTGTGTGTATGTGTGCGTAATATGTACATAACCCTCTCTATATATGCATACGTATGCACATATATTTATATTTACATATCTATGAGAACTTTCTGCCTTTGAGCTTCTTCAGGGAGAGATAACAATAGGATAGCCATATTGAAGAATATATATACTTTAGTGATTTTTCTAAGATAGTTCCAAATACTTTTATAGAACAATTGGACCAATTCATAAATCCATTAACAGTTCATTAGTATGGCTGTCTTTCCATATCTTTTCTAACATTTACCATTTTTATCTTTCAGACTATGATTCTTTAGTGGATTTCTACTATCTACAAGCAAAGTTTAAACTTTACTTGGTTTTCAAATACCCTCCACTGTCTAGCCTTTTGCAGTTTTCCCAGCTTTATTTCTGGTACTTTTCACAATTGTATTAATATTTGTGTATTCATCATGTCCCTTAGTAGAGAATAAGCTCTGCGAGAGCAGAGCCTGTGTCTTACCTGAATTTTCTATCTCCCTCAATTCTTTCACAGTGATCTACACATAGTAGGAACTGGCAGGTGGGCTCTTTCTAGTCTAATGTCCTTGTTGGAGAATCAACTAACAGTTATTTATCTACTGTTGCCCACAAACATTACCTGCCCTGGTTTCAACCACCCTTTAAAAACTTCTGCCTGACTTCTTTTAATGTCAAAAAAATTTCACAGGTCCTCCAGCTATCTAATTGTAGTTGACTGAGAAAATACCTGGTGATAAAAAACTACTATAAATCCAGCAATGCTTTTATATGAATTTGTGTTTTATTCATGCAACAGTATATACATATATTTGAAAAATAGTAATGCACGTATGGCTGAGGCATTCTGTTGATTCAGTCTGCAGAACGTGTGCTTATTTATTTATTGCAATGAGTCAGACTTCACATTTTGTTGGAGTTAAATACAGATCAAAGTGACAAATGCTTAGTGTATCTGTGGATTTACAGTACCCTTGCAATAACTCTGTGTCTTTCAAAGGCCCAAGAGTTTTGAAACACTTCTCTAAAAGGCAAAGGGAGTTGGATTAGAAAAGGTCTCTTCCACTCCTAAATTCTAGTTTTGTCTCTTTGTACTATTGGTCATAAAGTCTGCATTCCTCCCATTATAAGAATAAAATTTCAAAAGCTATGCAAATGCCTCTTTCTGAGACATCGTTAAAAAAAAAACAGAACAGGGTCAAACATAGATCCCTTTGACACTGCTAAAGACCACCTTCCTCACTGATATCCAGCAATTAATGACTGGCTACCTTTGGGGTCTGGTCAATTAATAAGTTCTAAAACCACTAAACTATACTCAGTCTAACCCAATAGTCTCTAAACTTTTTTTTATTATGTACCACAACCAAATTTTTAAAAATTCAACACTCATGCCCAATATGTGTATGTTTACTTATTTACAAAATATGTACATGCAACAATAGTTAACATTTTATAGCGCGTTAAAGTTTGCAAAGTGCTTTGGCTATATCATCTAATTTGATCCTCACAAATCTGAGATAAGCGTTATTATCAGCAACTAGGTGGTGAAGTAGATAGAGTGCAGGATTTTGAGTCAGGAAGCCTGAATTTGAATCTTGTTCTAGATACTTACTAGCTCTGTGACTTTAAGCAAATCAATTAATCTCTCTGTGCCTCAATTTCCTCTTGCATAAAATGGGGGAAATAATATCATCTACCTCATAGGATTATTATGAGAATCACATGAGTTAATGAATATAAAGCACTTTGTAAATCTTAAAATATTTTATAAATGTTAGCTATTATTATTATTACCGTTTTAGAGATGAGGAAACTGAGCCTGAGATTAAATGACTTGCCTAAGGTCATACATTTAGGATCTGAAGCAGAATTTGAACTGACCCCTTTCCTAATTCCAAGGCCAGCATTCTATTCCCTGTGCTACCCAGGTTCCTCCATGTGCAATTATATTTATAATTAGGCACATTATAGGACTTAGAGATAGAAATTTTGAAAGAATGAGATAAAGATGAAATTATTTAACCCTGGAGTTAATCATGAGTTTATTGAGTAAAGGACTGATATGCTCAGACCTGCATTTTAGGAAAATTACTTTAGCAGCTGTACAGATGAAAAAGTTTGGAAGGCGGAGAGATTTAAGACAGGGAGACCAATTGGGAGGCTATTGTAATAGGCTAGGCAAAAAGTGGTGAGACAGAACTAGAGTATCAGTAGGGTAGAAATGGGGAGGTTTGTCAACTGATTGGATATGTGTAGTGAAGAAGAGTGAGCAAATGATAATACAAAACTGTGAAAATGAGGGTATGGAAGAAAAGTGGTGCCTTCAGTAGTAAAAAGAAGTTTGGAAGATGTGTGGGTTTGGGGGGAAAGACAATGCATATAAGGTAATGCAAAGATAATCCATGATGCACATCAAAACCCATCCATGTCTGTAGGTGACACGCACATGAGGAAGGGAAAGGTGGAGTCTTTACTCACCAGTCACTGTGCTCCCTCTAAGGGGTGCCTGTCTCAGCCAGTGGTAAGAGATTTTCCCAATGGCACTAGCACAGCTACTACTTTGGACTCCTGAGTGTTGGATGGAACCAATACCAGTTCAGAAGTGGGGAGGATGGAAGCTTGCACAGAGGAGGGAAGGGACAGAATGGGGAATGTTGAAGGATTAGTGTAAGAGGGGTAATGTTGGAGATAAATCCCACTATGACTATATAGAGAAGATGAGATTCAACTATTTTCCATTTGGCTTAACACATAGCCCTTTGAGTCATACCATGATCCCTTTGAGGTCAAACCATATCCCCTACTTTGGAGAAACTGGTATAGTCTATTGCCCTACAACAATGACATAGAAGAACTTGTCAACATTTTTTAAAATTTAAATGATATCCATAGTATTTTCCTGATTTGACAGTCTAGCAGCCAAGGAAATTAGGTTAGTCAGAAATATCCAGTTTTTGATGAAGGCATGCTGACTCTAAGTTATCTCTACCTCTTTTTTAAAGATATAAACTAACCAAACTTTCAATAATAATTGTACCAGGAATTGCAGTTAAGACAACTAGCCTTTTCTAATTTCCAGACTTCCACTTTTTATTCCAGTCATCAATGCTGTCAACTGACCTGTACTAGTTACCACCCTAAGGCGAGACTGCATCTTTGGTTGTTCTTAAAGCACGTATGTCCTCAGCCTACTACTATTCTCCTAAAGCATCTTGAGATGGTAAAGAAATGAGAAATATCTGAGCACAGGCTTCGACAATACAATATCTTATATTTCTTTATACTTTTCAAAGATCTTTTGCATATTATCTCTTAATCTTCACAGGAATCTACTGAGGTAGGTATTAGTCTATTTTAGAGATGACAAAACTGAGAATTAGAAAGGTTAAATGACTTACTCAGAATCACACTGATAGCCAGTGACCAAGGTAGGACTATAACCTGAGTATTCTGATACTTAAAAAGTTGCTTGTCTGGAGATCCTGGGGGCTTCTTTCTCATCAGTTTTCTTTTTATTTCTTCTTGTTCCCCAACAGGTTACAAAGATGCTGGCAGTGGTTGTGATTCTATTTGCCCTTTTATGGATGCCCTATAGGACCCTGGTTGTGGTCAACTCATTCCTATCCAGCCCTTTCCAAGAAAATTGGTTCTTGTTATTCTGCAGAATCTGCATTTACCTCAACAGCGCCATCAACCCAGTGATTTACAACCTCATGTCCCAGAAATTCCGGGCCGCCTTCAGGAAGCTCTGCAACTGCAAAAAGAAGCCTTTAGAGAAGCCAGTCAACTACAGTGTGGCCCTGAATTACAGCGTCATCAAAGAGTCTGACCACTTCAACACAGAGCTTGAAGATATCACAGTCACAGACACTTATCTGGCCACTACCAAAGTGTCTTTTGATGAGACGTGTTTATCTTCTGAGGTAACTTTTAGCTGAGCTTGAGTCACAATATGAAATGTGATGGACCACAAAGTGGAGGGGGCTATTGGGCTGTTATGGAAGGAGAGGAAAAACTGCCTTTATGGTTGGTTATATGTGAAGTGGACCAGGGAGAGGTTTTCCCTAGGTTCTTTAGTCTCCTTTGACTTTGTTGCCCATTTGTTGTCCAGGAGAGGAATTCAGAATCTTTATCTTGGTAGAATTATCATACAGAAAAATTAAGCTTATCAGAGAAACATTTAGGTTATAGCCAATCAGAAAAAAAAAAGTACCTTTTTTAGATTAGTTGAATAAATTCACCTTATTTTCCAGAACTCAGTAACTGAGTACAGCTTCTATGAGCTCTGGCCATCATTTTACTCAACTTACAAAGATTTTCTCATATGGGATTATTCTCCCCACTCCTCCAAAAGGCTACATAATGCATTCAAATTATGTTAATGCCTACAGTATTCTACAGTAGATTCATTTAAAATATTAATTAAAAATCCAAGTTTCCTTAATATTCTTAATATCCACTTAAAACACTCAGATTCCTGCTTGCTAATAGATTGTTATTAAACTTTAATGTAAAATGAGTCTCAACTGTTTCCAAAATTGTACTAATAAGATTTACATTTTGAAGCTAAAGCCAGCTTCTTCCAACTATTTAAGCCTTTATAAATAATGATTGGATAGGATGAAAGAAATATTTTCAAGGAAAATCTTTTGAGATATCCTTAGGTATAAACTACTGAGTCATGTCAAGAAAACTTACTCAAAAGTCTAAATCATTTATAAAAACTTAGTTAACTTCCAGTCTGCCAAAATTCAGCTTCAAATATGGGCTACCCACCAAACAGTCCATAGTCCGAATTTAAAATAGTTTTCAATAGCCTTTCTTGTCTAATTTTCTTTTCATTATTCTTGGGTTCAACTTTTTTCTAGGGGTTAGAGATATTCTGTTAAACATGAACATTTTAGAAACTGTGCAATTTCTGTAGACTTTCTTTTTCCTCAGCTTTTAGGCAGGGGTACAGCAGTGAATAGAGCACTTGTGCCAAAGTCAGGAGCACCTGAGTTCAAACCCAGCCTCAGACCAAACGCTTGACACTTACTAGCTGTGTGACCCTGGGCAAGTCACTTAACCCCAATTGCCTAAAAAAAAAGTTTAGGCAGACTCCTTAATATCTTTAGTAGATCTGTTCAATATATGGCTTATTCCTGTCCTTCCCATGAGCCATTAAGCATGTTTGAATGTGAATATGCCTAGAATATTTTGTCATAGCCCTACCTGGAATGCTTTCAACTGTATTAGTCCCTTGCCCAGCCATTCGGTAGAGACTGTACATTTGTACTCACTGAGTCATCATCAACCAGATCCTCCCAGTACAGAAGCTACTCTTTGTGAGTAATTTAAGCACCCAGCAACGGAGTCTTAAATGATTGACCCTTCCAAGTCATTTCTGATGACAAATTTAAGAGATGCCAAGCACTTGAAGTACGATATGGTCAAGTATCTATCCACTCCAGCCTATATTTCTGGTTAATTCTAGAACCTCAATCTCCCTTCTTTATTATGGAATCAACTCTATATACTACTTCCAGTTTTACATCCTTCTTCATGGTGGTCTTGCCTCTGGAAGTTCCCTCCAGTACTTGCTTTTGTGAAATAGACAATTGATTAAAAAGGGAGGGAAACAAAAGGCAGAGTGACATCAGATTCTTCATTAGGCCCTTCACCAGATTCTTGAGGTAGGATATTACAGTGATATTACTGCCTTTGGAGTCAGAGAAACTATGTTCAAATTCCAGCTCTACCACTTACTCCTTTGTGATCTTGGATAAATCATTTCACCCCTCTAGGTCTAAATTTCCTTACCTTTAGAAATGAGAGAGTTGGGTTTAATGGCTGCTAAGATTCTTTCTAGGTCTAAGCCTATGATAATTAGTTTTCTGACTAATTTTAGATTAGACATGATATTTTCATAGAAAAGGTAAAATTGTGGGGATGAGTTTAAGTGAAAAACACAGCTTAGTGGAAGACTATTAGATTCATGATCAAGAGATACCTGGCTTTAAATCTTATTCCCAGTACTTTTTTCACTTGTTTGATTGTGGGGAATTTAGTTAATCTCTCTAAGCCTCAGTTTTTTCATCTGTAAAATGAGAGTTATCATAGCTGTTATCCCTTATCTCATATGAATGTTATAAATTTCAAATGAAATAATGTATGGACCATGCTTTAAGGTTAAAGAGCTATGGAAACATCACCCTTTTATTAAATAGGCATTCAGGACTTGTAATGGAAACTTTTAAAAGACCTTATGACAAAATTAGTTTTTTAAAAAGTATCCTTGGCTTAGCAAAATGGTCCTATAAAGTAACAAATAGAAAGATTCATATTTCATAGTATTTTTTTAAATGCCTTTTCATTTCATTCACTTCAATCTAATATATGGGTTCAGTTCTATTCATTTTTAACTTTTCCCAAAAGGTTATTAGTTAATAATCTCTCAGCTCTGAACAAAAAGGGGAATTCAAAAGAACAGAGCTCAGAGCATTTCAACTCTAAAGCAAATGTCATTACAAAATTAAATGTTCCCAAACAATGCCCTATAGACATGGTGCTTAGCCAGGAGCTAAAGATACATTTTAAATATTTGTCATCTCACAGAACCAAATCACTAAAGATTTCTGTAAATTAAAAGAAGAAACTGAATACTTAATCAAACAAAAAATGAAGGGCCAAAACCACTGATTGTTAATGATATGACACTTTTTTTAAAGCCCTCCTTCACCCAAATGCTTTGCACTCTCACCCCTCTTTGTTTCCAGCTGTCACTGGGCATATACTGTCTTATGTTTGAATCTGAACCAGGAGATAATTTAGGCAAAGCCTAAAGAAGGCTGTTTGACATCACTATCTTGGACACTTTTCAGAAACATCCTCTCTCACATCTCCTACTCCCCACCAAGAAAAAGAAAAAGATTTTCCAATCCTTAAGATGAATGGAAAATAACCAAATTTTAAGCTAGCCAAAATAGGAGACTTTAGTAAGACACTACAACACCCAAGGCAGTGGTCATTTCAGCCAAATATTCAGATAATCAAGTCAGGGGAAAAATATATATGTATGTAAATATACATATATATGTATACATACATGCGTGTATATATATAGAGAGAGATGTATCAGTCAAAATGGTCATTTCATATCATGACATCTCATAGTCACTCTCAAAAATATTTGTTTGAATTTTTTCTCTTTTCCACAGATTGTGTTAGCATTGTATAGACATTGCCTTTGAAACTGGTTCCTTCAATATTGATGCATTGGTCTAAAAAATCATTCTTTCTCATATCAAAGTCTCAAATCAGGAACTTATCACAGGATCATAGCTCTTGAGTTGAGAAGTTGCATGTTTCAGTCCTCTCACTTGATAGATGAGAAAATGGAGGCTCTGAGAAGGGGAATGATTGTTCAAAGTCAAAAATACAGTATATAGGAAAGGAGGGATCTGAACCTGATTTACTCAACTCCAAATTCAGCGCTCTTTTTTTTTTTATTGTACCATGGCAATACATTCATTCTTTTCAAGTCCCTTTTACATACTCTGTAATACAGAAGCAGACTTCAGTTGATCCCTAGAAAGGGACTATTGAATAGGAATTTCTACTTTATCATTCACTAAATTAGACCAGGAGGAAGGAATAAGGGAGATATAACCCCATGTGACCATGGGCAAATCATTTTAACCCTTTGGGGTTCCAGTGACTCATCTGTAAAATGGAGACAATAACAGTACCTACTACATAAGTTTTTTAAACATTTGCAACATTTTATAAAAGCTAGAATGCTTTGTAATGCTTTGATTATATATATTCTATGTATATATATTCTATGTATAGAAAATACAGCCCTGAAGCAAATTTTCATTAGCACTTTCTTGTTTCCTTGGTGATACAGAACAACTTACCAAAACATACAAGTATGCCATCACCTGAGAAAAATTATTTCAATTATTTCATTTTACTCTCAGAAGTGGAGAGGAAAGTAGTTGGATAATTCCCAATATAAAAGTCCTTAATTACATATTAAAATGTCATTTGCAGCACCTGTAAATACTCCATTTTTGGTTTGACTGCATAACTAATATATTTATTATATGCAAATGCTAGACAATAATAGCCCTCAAGCAATCTTTCTTCAACTGTATTCATTTCTATATACTGAGATAAAAAGCATAGAAATTGTTTGATTATTACATAAAATAATCTAAAGCTATGAAATCTCATCTGGCTATATTAAAGCATTCCTTATCTCTCAGGAGTACACAAAAGCAAATACTTTTGGTCCTGGGTTCCTAAAATTAGAGTTGGAGGGGCTTGTAGGATCATAAATTTAGACCTGGAAGGGACTGGAGAGTCCATAGAATGAAATCCTCTTGTTTTATAAAGAAACTGAAGGAGAGAGACTTTAAACGACATTTCAGAGTCAGAAAGCAAGTAAATGTTGAAAGTCAGATTTGAGCTAAGGTCTGTTTGACTTCAGGTCTATCTCTCTACCTACTATGCCACCTGGGAATCTTAGAGGTCATATAGTAGAACTACCTTATTTTATTAATCAGGAAACTAAGACCCACATAAGTAAATAACTTCAGCAGGATCAAACAGGTAGTGAGTAGCAGACCCAGGATTAGAACTTAGGTCCTCTGCCTCCAAATACAAGCCTTCCACCCCTATAACACACTTTGGATAGTCCTGAATTTCTCCCTGTGGCCTAATACCTCAGCCCCTCTCTAAGAGAACATTTAGCCATCAGAGTTTGTTAGTTTTTCTGATCCTGATTCTGTGTCCTTTCATTTTGTGTTTTTAAAAATTTCCTTCCTCCACTCCCTAGTTTTTGTGTATTTGGGTAAGATATTTATGTACTTGAAGATGTAACTGTTTGGTATTTTTCAGTCTAAATATTAGATTTAAGAACTGTGTCATATGATAACAATTATGAACAATAACTATATAACCTCATTGGTTACATTGCTAAGCATCCCTTAATATAGTGTAGCAATTTATGTGTTGATATTTCCATTGACATTTGCATAGATGTTATTCATTGCTTACTTAACTTTATGCAAAACAAGATGGAAAGGCTATGGCCCAGTCGTATTCTTTATATTTTCTCCTCTTAGTATAATTGCTATTAATTCCTTAGCAAATTTCATGTGCCTATGTTGAGTATTAGTGAGCATTATTGTGCCTGAAACCATTAGCTCCATTGGATTGCACTAGCTTAACCTAATGCAGTATGTAACCTATTTAAATATTTCCATGATATGTTTTGAAATTTTGTATTTATTAAGAATTGTACATAACACTGTGTTGCCTATTTGTCTTCTTGGCGAAAGTACTCATGATATTAGACTAGATTCAGATTTTTATAATCACATCTGGAAAGACCTGGAAATTTCACATTGCTAGGACAGCACCCCATTGGAACCAGGATCTGAGGCTATCATGCTTTCAAGGAGAAGCTCTGCTGGGACTAATTAATGCCTTCAATTGTGGTCCTTGAGACCACAAATTGAAACATTCTTCTGGTGTCATCTGGTGAGACTGACTTTAAGGAGAAAAAAAAAAGGGCTTACCTGGATTCCATGTAGGCCATCTGTTATTGCTGAGGCAGCATTAAAATACTTCCTGATAAATGGAATATTCTCTGAGTCCAGTTTGCCTGTATACATGAGTTAAACTCTTTGATGAACGCTGTAAGGGATGCAACAAAGAATACAGTAAAATCTAATAAACATTTATTTAGGGTTTAATGTAATCAGTTCAAGGTACAGTGCTAGATACTGATAAAACAGACAAAAAGAAACAGTACCTGCCTTCAAGGAGCTTACATTTTACAGTGGGATGCAATATGTGAACTGCAAAAAACTCTACATTATTATGCAAGAATGGTAAGAATATTAAAACCTGGAGGATGAAAAGAAACAAATCAGAGACCCTCAAAAAATAAAATACCATCCAAGCCCTCTGGAATCATACTAAGTAATTGTGGAGACAAGACTAACTTAATATGAAATAGCTGCAAGTAATACAAGACACACATGTAATTAGGTAGTCATCTGCATGGTCCAGGCTATAACTACAGGTAATTAGAAGCCAGATCATTGGGTGGAATGGAATAGTCAGGGAGGGCCTCATAGAATTCACTTTGTACTGGGACTGAAAGAATATATATTCCTTGAGTACAGGCACTGTTATATTTTTGCCTTTGTTATCTCCAGGGCCTGACACACTGTAGGTGCTTAATAAGTGCTTCATGATTCATTGAAGTATTGGAAGGATTTAGAGATGCAAATGGGAGAGGGAAGAGCATTCCAGTCAATGAAGAAAACAAAAATAAAGACATGAAGATAGGGAAAGATCTTTAGGATGAGTACACAGTACATGGCAAAAAAAACCCAAAAAACCTCTCCTAGATCCTTATGCATGGTAAGCATTTAATAAGTGCTTATTAAGCTGAATTTAATTATAATGACATGGACAGGCTGAGGATGAACGAGCTTTATCCTTTATGAGAATCAAAATTTCATAATTGGAAGAAAAGGAAAATTAGGGGTATAGATGCTCATATGCTAACTTGAGAAACTCTTTATACATACAAAAGAATATGAAATAAGTGTGCTTGTATATGTAATCCTAAATCGACTGTGGTTATTTTCCAAACATTGTGAATTATATTTATTCTCTTAATAATAAATATTGTACTATTTATTCTAGGCATGGCATGATACTGGAAGTAATTTCATGTCTTATTTTTCAAAGGGGGAAATGCATTATCACTATATTATGCAGTCTCTACATATGACATATATTATATGTACATATAAATATTTATGTGTATTTTTGCAAGGCCCTTAACTAACTGAATCAATACAAATATATAATAACATAGTAGGGATTCAGGGAGATTCAGGACCCTGGAATCACCATTAAAACAAACTTTAAAGTTGAGCCTTGAAAATTCCTAAATGTTTAAAAGAGTTTGCATGGATTCTACTATTAGTTATAGCATCCTTTTTTCATTGCATGTAACTTGTGGTTTAGCTCTGAGACTCAAGAGATATGCCTCTGACTACCCTTTTTCCTGTTGTAGAAATATATGTGCTTAGAAATAAAAAACCCAAGTCTCCACATGAGACAATACTCTTTCAGAAAGTGGAATGTTATATATACTCTCTGTGACGTCTGTGATCTAATGTTTTTATGATGAGTAATAAAGTATCAAAATGAAACTCATGGCTATACAACTTGCATTCTTTTTTCTACAACATAGCTTTTCTAGTAAACTTACCCATAGATGATCAAGCTAAGAGAAATTTCTTCTTCAAGCAACTGAATTAAATAGGTAGCAAGATGATGCAGGGAATAGATCACAAGAGTCAGGAAGACTTGAATTCAAATCCTTCCTCAGACACATACTAATTGTGTGACCTTGGACAAGTCACTTAACATCTCTGTGCCTCAGTTTCCTCATCTGTAAATTGGAATAATAATAGTACCTATCTTCCAGGGTTACTGTAAGGATAAAATTAGATGATATTTGTAAAATGGTTTGCAGACCTTAGGATGACAGAGATACATACATAGGTTAATAGATATTATATTATCATTATTATATATCCAGAACTTATATATTCAGAACTAAAATGGAGTATTACCAAATTTACCTAGTGTTCTAAGTTTGATGTGTTGTCTGTTATATTTAGTAATTGTTGTAAAATATCATATTGGTACAAATTGATATCACATTTCCCACACATACACCCCAAATAAGACTCCTTTAAGAAAAATCTAAGTGCAGCCAACAATTGTACTCTTTAGTGTCATAGGCCTCATAGAATTATGAGGTTTAAAGCTTGGAAGGAATCTTAGAGGTTATATAATCCAAATACAAAATTTCCCAAAGCCTAGAGTTTGAATGACTTACCTAAGGTCACATAGCTAGTAAGAGGTAGAGGGAGGGTCAGGCCTTCCGGCTCTAAAGCTAGCACTCAACAGAGTCTGCCCAGCAGCAGAATAGGAATAGCTTCCCCACCAACCTCTTCTCACCTCCTTATTCCCTGCCCCACCAACACACATACACAAACAAATTGAAGGACCTGTGTCAGAGAGTCTGATTACAGGTTGTTGTTCTTGTTCAGTCATTTTCAGTCATGTCTGACTATTCATGACCCCATTTGGTGTTTTCTTAGCAAAGATACTGGAGTGGTTTGCCATTTCCTTCTCCAGCTTGTTTTACAGATGAAGAAAGTGAGGCAAACAGGGTTAAGTGACTTGCCCAGGGTCACACAGCTAGTAAGTGTCTGAGATCTTCCTGACTCCAGGCCCAGCATTCTATCTACTGTACCACTTAGCTACCAGGCAAAGAAATACATCATTTCCACTTGATCTTATTTCTGAGCTGGGCTGCTCATTTCTTCCTCTATCCTGACATGGACCAGGTCTTTCCCAAAGAGTTTGTCCTGTGTCACACTGTCAAGTTCTACTTCCAAACTTGTGGCCAGGAGATAATATGGTCTAGTGAAAAGTACTCTAGAACCAGAAGCCCTGAATTCAAGTCTCACCTTTGATGCTTGCTACCTGTGTTTTCCTTGCCCACTCTAAGTTTAGTTCCCACATCTATAAAATGAGGTAGTTGGAAGAGATAGCCTCTGAGTCTCCTTTCAGATACAGGTGCCTTTGATCCTATGATCTTAGCATCCAACAGTCATTCAAGTAATTCCCCTGGTCTGGCTTTCTAATTATATCAGCTTCCTTTTTAATTTGCATCTCAATTATTCCTGCCACAAGAAAAAATCACCATCCTTCTTCTTGCCTGTGGGTTTCCCTAATTATTGGCATTTCTCAGTCATAAATTGGGCAGGGTATGACATTTCTGTCCAACTCTAATACATTGCCAGGAAATGTAATGGTAGAACTGACTACCGAATTGTTGTTAGTGTTACTGTTCAGTCATTTCAGTCATGTCTGACACTTCATGACCCCATTTGGGGTTTTCTTGCCAAAGACATTGGAATGGTTTGCCATTTCCTTCTCTAGATCATTTTTTTACACATAAGGAACTGAGGCAAACAGAGTTAAGTGATTTGTCTAGGGTCACACAGCTAGTAAGTGTCTGAGGCTATATTTAAACTCAGGTCTTCCTGACTGTAGTCTCAACACTCTATTGCCCAAGGCACCTCGCTGCCTCAACCTGGAGTCTGTGAACTTGTTTTTAAAAAAATTTTGATAACTATATTTCAATATAATTGATTTCCTAGCTAGATGGCACAGTGGACAGAACACTGGATGTGGAATCAGGAAGACTTGAGTTCAAATCCAGCCTTAAATATTTATGAGTTGTGTGACTCTGGGCAAGTCACAATTTCTACCCACATTTGTTTCCTCATCTTTAAAATGGGGTTAATAGGGGCAGCCGGGTGGCACAGCAGATAGAGTGCTGGCCCTGGAGTCAGGAGGACCTGAGTTCAAATCTGGCCTCAGATACTTAATACTTCCTAGCTGTGTGACCTGGGCAAGTCACTTAACCCCAATTGCCTCACTAAAAAAAAAAAAAGAAAGAAAAAAAAAACCAAAACACATGTCTTGAAACAAAACCTTGTAAAATAAAAAGCCCAACATAAACTCATTAAAATGGGGGTAATAAAGGCACATACTTCCAAGAATTGTGAAGATAAAATGAAGTGATATCAACCCTAAAGTAGCTTTATAACCATAAATAAATGTTACATACTATTATCCATTATTATTATAATCCTATGCATTTTATTTTACAGATTTAATGATATCACTCTGAGAAAGAGTATATAAGCTTCACTATAGGAATTCATGACACATAAAAAGTTAAGACTCCCTGTAAGTCTAATGAACCACACTGAAGGGATTCTCCAGGAGTTAAGAGGTTTGAGAGCTCCATTCAAGCCAAAGTGGCCAACCATCCAATTTGCTAGCTCCACCAAGTGACAGGGACTGTGACAGAATACTCTTTCTAGACCCTAAGCCATGACTTGGTATGAAATGTCTTTGTCATAGTGGATCAGTGTTTGGAGTCCTAGGCTGTACCCACTCAGAACTGATTTCATCCAGATAGATGTTGCTGCCTACCTGCTCTCTTTAATCCTGCAATGTGTTCAAGTTGAATCTAGTAGCCTAGTTCAACCACAGGGAGCTAGCTGAACAGTGGGGATAAGGGAGCATGAAGCTGGTATAGCTAGGGATATGCTATGTCTGGCCTGCCCACAGTACTTGATCAAGGCAGAGAGCTATCCAAAAGATATCCCTACTTATCCTATATCGCTAACCCAACTCTGCCTCATTACTAGGCCTCCAAATACTGTAGATCCCATCTGTGGTGAATTCATAACCCCCTGCAAACTTTATAAAGTACGCTTGAGTTAGGCAAAATGATCAGTGAGTTCAAACCAGAGATTCAGCAGACCCACGTCCTATGGGTTTAGGTAGGAAAACAATTTGAGATCCTTAGGTAAGTATGGATACAACTGACCTGAAAATCAAGAAGACTTAAGTCCCACTTCTGATACATATCAGATGTCTTACCCTGGCCAAATTACTTAGCCTTTCAGTGCTCTGGGTAGTTTTATAAAACTATAAGTTTCAGGGGTCATACCAACCTGTATTTATCAAAAGAGTTTCCTCCCTAAGAAGTTCCCCAAACCAATGAAATCACAGATCCAATCCTTATCCCTTTGTTACTTATCATGATTGTTAGTCATTATTATTATAATTCTACATGTCTTATTTTGCATATTTAAAAACATTATTCTGAGAGTGGCTTCACCAGACTGTTAAAGGGATTCATGATGCAAAAAAAAATTAAGAACCCCCACAAGTCCAGTAGACCAGTCTAGTGGAGGAGTTTCTCTAGGAGCTCAAAGAGAATTTTGGCAGCTACAATCCCTGTTTCTTATGCCTAGGTAAAATAGGCAAACATAATCCCCTTTCCTACTTCTGCTTCAATGACTACACTAAAACCTTTGACTGTGTGGATCACGATAAAATGTGGCAAGTCCTCAGAGACAGCAGTACAAATCATCTGACTTGTCTCCTAAGGAACCTGTATGCATATCAAGAAGCAATAGTTAGAACCAAACATGGAATAACTGGTTGGTTTAAGATTAGAGAAGAAATTCAAGGCTGCATATTGTCACCTTATTTATTTAATTTATATGTAGAGTATATCATGTGAAATTCCAGGCCAAAATTAAGGTTGCAGGGAGAAATATCAGCAATCTCAGATATGCAAACAATACCACCCTGATGACAAAAAGTGAAGAAGAAATAAAAAAGCTTCTTGATGAGGGCGAAAAAAGGAGAGTATAAAAGTTGGCTTGAAGCTTAACAACAACAACAAAAAAAACTAAGGTCATGACAACTGATCCTATCACTTCCTGGCAAAAAGAGGGAGAAAAAATGGAAGCAGTGTCAAATTTTATATTCTTGGGTTCAAAGATCACAGTGGATGATGACTGCAGTCATGAAATTAAAAGACTCTTGCTCCTTGGAAGGAAAGCTATGGCAAATCTGGACAGCATGCTAGAAAGCAGAGACATCACCTTGCTGACAAAGGTTCACATAGGTAAAGCTGTAGTTCTTCCAGTATCAATGTATAGCTTGAATATTTGAATTATGAGGAAAGCTGAGTGCTACAGAATCAGTGCTTTCAAATTGCAGTGCTGGAGAAGATTTTTGAGAGTCCATTGGACAGTGAGGAGATTAAATCAGTCAATACTTAAAGAAATTAATTCAGGCTATTCACTGGAAGGTGAAATACTGAAGCTGAAGTTTAAATACTTTGGCCATATAATGAGGAGACAGGACTCATTGGAAAAGACCCTGATTTTGGGAAAGATTGAAGGCAAAAGGAAAAGGAAATGGCATGAGATGGGTAGATAGCATCATGAAAACAATGAACATGAACTTGGACAGACTTCTAGAGAGAGTGGAGGATGGAAGGGGCTGGCATGTCATGGTCCATGGGATCACAAAGAATAGGAAATGACTGAGTGACTGAATGAATGAACAACAACAAGATCCCCTTGTAGAGGTTGGTGAACTTGTTCCAAAATCTGCTGGATCAAGAAACGGTGGTTTATTTCAACAATATTCTCATCTGCCGCCTGAGGAGAGGTCTTCCACAAATGTCGTCTCTCCAAACAGTCTCAAGACTCAAGAATTCTACAGAAGG